TCAAAATTGAATAGAATGTTACGTAACAAGACAAACACACAGGCATACTGACAGAAAGGCAAAACAAAAATAAAATAAAATAGAGTTAGGGTTACCAAGGTAGTGAAAGATTAATCACACTATCTTTCTGTATACAAAGGTCTGGTCGAAATCTCTTGATAGCAATGGCTTCTGCGAAGCGAAGTAGCCGTGGGTTTCTTTGTGTATTGATTATTTTGAAGGCTTGGCTGATTTCTACTGTGTGTCCTGTGTCAATTAGATGTCTGGCGATTGCACTTGATAACACTTTTCTTCCTTTTGTACGGAGACTCTTAGGAATGTGCTCGGAAAATCTAGTAGATGCTGTCCTCTCAGTCCTTCCTATGTACTTGCTACCGCAGGTGCACGTGAATTGGTAAATGCAGTTGGAGTTGACGTGAGTAGGGAACTCATCTACTTTTGACTGGGTTAACGAGCACACAGTGTTGTGAAGTAGGATCAGTCTGGCGGCTGGGAACGTTCTTTTCAATGCACCTGTGATTCTTTTTTGTGTTCTTGTGGATACGTCTTCCCCTTTGTACGCTAGACAGATGAAAACTGGTTTCTTTTCAACGGTGTCGGGTTTCGGTTTGTGTACTTCCTCATTTCTATATTTTAATATGAACTTTCGAGGATATCCATTCTCGATAAGGTTCTTTTCGATGATCTCAAGTTCTTCTTCAATCTTGTCTTCTGAACATATTTCTTTGGCTCTGCTGAAGAGCGTTTTTACTAGACATCGTTTGTAACTGGTTGGGCAAAAGCTATGATAATGTAGGTATTGACCAGTCCAAGTTTCTTTCCTGTAGACAGATTTTTGAATTGTCCCATCGTTTCTTCTTTTTATGTTGACATCTAGGAAATGGAACTGGTTGTTTCTTTCGTAGTCAATTGTGAATGCGATGTTGGGATGGGCCGCGTTGAGTTTCTCAAACATTGTGGACGCGTGTTCTATATCATTGCAGACCACAAACGTGTCGTCGACATATCTGCAGTAATAGGTGGTTCTTTCTATTTCTTCTTTCATTTGAGTCTGTTCAAGATGAGCCATGAATATGTCAGCAAGAACAGGACCCAGAGGTGAACCCATAGCCACCCCGTCAATCTGCCGGTACAGCTGATTGTTGAATCGGAATTGAATATTCTTTGTACATAGAAATAACAATTTGCGTAGCTCATTTTCTGGAAGAGGGAGCAGTTCGGACTGCTGGCATATGATTCTTACTGTTTCTTCGATGGGTATGCTGGTAAACAGTGAACAAACGTCGTATGACACGAGAAGTCTATCTGAAATATTGAGTTGATCTAATTCTTGTGAAAACTGGAAGGAATCTTTGATACTGTGAGCTGCCAGCTTTTTTCGAATGGGTTCCAGCTTTTGGGCCAACCATCTGGCCAGTTTATGGCATGGTGATTTCACCATTGATATTATAGGTCTCAATGGTACATCACTTTTGTGGACTTTGGGTTGACCGTACATGAATGGTACACGCGAACCCCTTGGTTTAAGGTCGTTGTAAGTGCTGTTGTCTATTAGCCCTTCTTTAAGTAGTCCTTTGAGGTGCTTGCTTACTTTATTTTCGAAGGCCGCTGTTGCTTCTTTTTTGGACGTATCGACTTGAAATCTTATTGGATCATCGAGAATGGTTTTCATTTTTGAGATGTAGTCTCGGCGGTTCATTATTACGACACCTGAGCCTTTGTCTGGTTTGAGAATGACGATGTTTTCATTATTTCGTAGGTTTTTTATTGCTGTTCTGTGTTCTTTAGTAAATAATTTTGAGTGTGCTGGAGGAGAGATCTGATATTGTTCTGCAATATCGATCATTTTGGACTTAAACCAGACTCTTTTATCCTCGTCTATGGGTTTAAGGTCGGAAAGTTGACTGTATAAATACTCAAACTGCGTTTCTGTATTGATTCTGTTTATAAACGGGTTTGGTACGTGGTACTTAAATCCTAAGGACAGAGCTTCAGTTTCGATTTTATTAAGTTTCACATCTGATAAATTGTATATGTATTTTTCTGGGCACTGTGGAAATTCTTCTTGTAGTTGTTCAACTACTAAAGATTTTCTGAGCTTCTTTCCATATGAGTTGGCTGTTTGCGATTGTAAATCTTGTATGAAGTTGATGAACTTTATACGACACACCAAATTAAGGCTTTCCAGTAGACTGTCGAATTTCACTAGATTTGACCTTAAAGCGGTGATGTATCTCTGAGATGAGTCGATATGTGATTTAGTGATGCGGCGCAGGTTCTTTAAAGTTGGAGGTAGTTTGGTCGATCTGATGAGCTTCAGAAATTGGCGTGGAAAACAGCCTATCTCTAGACACTCTTCGTAGAATTTAATCTTGCAGGCTTCTCTCGCTATTCCAGTTTTCACAAGAATTAGATCAACTCAATATTTCAGATAGACTTCTCGTGTCATACGACGTTTGTTCACTGTTTACCAGCATACCTGTCGAAGAAACAGTAAGAATCATATGCCAGCAGTCCGAACTGCTCCCTCTTCCAGAAAATGAGCTACGCAAATTGTTATTTCTATGTACAAAGAATATTCAATTCCGATTCAACAATCAGCTGTACCGGCAGATTGACGGGGTGGCTATGGGTTCACCTCTGGGTCCTGTTCTTGCTGACATATTCATGGCTCATCTTGAACAGACTGAAATGAAAGAAGAAATAGAAAGAACCACCTATTACTGCAGATATGTCGACGACACGTTTGTGGTCTGCAATGATATAGAACACGCGTCCACAATGTTTGAGAAACTCAACGCGGCCCATCCCAACATCGCATTCACAATTGACTACGAAAGAAACAACCAGTTCCATTTCCTAGATGTCAACATAAAAAGAAGAAACGATGGGACAATCCAAAAATCTGTCTACAGGAAAGAAACTTGGACTGGTCAATACCTACATTATCATAGCTTTTGCCCAACCAGTTACAAACGATGTCTAGTAAAAACGCTCTTCAGCAGAGCCAAAGAAATATGTTCAGAAGACAAGATTGAAGAAGAACTTGAGATCATCGAAAAGAACCTTATCGAGAATGGATATCCTCGAAAGTTCATATTAAAATATAGAAATGAGGAAGTACACAAACCGAAACCCGACACCGTTGAAAAGAAACCAGTTTTCATCTGTCTAGCGTACAAAGGGGAAGACGTATCCACAAGAACACAAAAAAGAATCACAGGTGCATTGAAAAGAACGTTCCCAGCCGCCAGACTGATCCTACTTCACAACACTGTGTGCTCGTTAACCCAGTCAAAAGTAGATGAGTTCCCTACTCACGTCAACTCCAACTGCATTTACCAATTCACGTGCACCTGCGGTAGCAAGTACATAGGAAGGACTGAGAGGACAGCATCTACTAGATTTTCCGAGCACATTCCTAAGAGTCTCCGTACAAAAGGAAGAAAAGTGTTAACAAGTGCAATCGCCAGACATCTAATTGACACAGGACACACAGTAGAAATCAGCCAAGCCTTCAAAATAATCAATACACAAAGAAACCCACGGCTACTTCGCTTCGCAGAAGCCATTGCTATCAAGAGATTTCGACCAGACCTTTGTATACAGAAAGATAGTGTGATTAATCTTTCACTACCTTGGTAACCCTAACTCTATTTTATTTTATTTTTGTTTTGCCTTTCTGTCAGTATGCCTGTGTGTTTGTCTTGTTACGTAACATTCTATTCAATTTTGACCTTCAAGTTTCTAAATCTACTTAATTGTTTGTGTGTTTAAGTTATAAATGTTACTTCACTATTCACCCCCACCCTCTTAAACTCTCCACCACAAGATGTGTAAATTTACTTTGTTCTCTGACCCTGACCCTGTAATATGCCTCTAACCAATCTGTGTTGTTTTCCAATAGAAATCTGAACTCTTACCCCTCTTATCCAATTCCACTATATATAATTAGTTGTTTTTTGACACCGAATAATCTGTCTACCTACATCAATTTCTGGAATTATGTTCCTTATGCCTTCTATCTATAACTCAAAGTATTTATGAAAAAGTATGTTCCACAACTTTCTTGAAACCTATAATTTGATTTTGTTTAGGATGTATGCAGTTGATGAGAATCCACGAAATAAAACGAGCTCGTATTATCCTGCAAATATGTTCGTTCTTTCTCTCTTCAAAGGTGAGGAATATTTAGGTTAGGCGTCGGTCGAGTTCTGGGTAGGTGGGAGGGGAAATCAATCGACGAGGTTGTGAAGTTACACCGATTGAGATAGATGGTTAGGACATGTGTTACGCATGCATGTCTAGCCATCGCCTTCCTCGACAACAGGCAATGTTAGCTGCTGACATGACATAGGATGGATCAGGTTGGAAAAGAGTTGGCTAGTGATGGTTGGTCGAACATGGTCAAAACATGGCTTGATCAGTCAATGAAATGCACAAGAGTTATTTTAAGCCAGCCAGCCAGTCACGTAGGGAGGTGTAGAATTCCTGTTTGAGGTCCATGGGATGGTAAAAAACAATGACAGCTGGAGACAGTTGGTGACATGGCTCGAAATAGTTCTCGTTGGCGCATATATATTCACTTTTTGTGATCTGGGATATCGAAAAAGCTGAAGTGTCTTTGTATATTGCTACTATTTCTCCGTCACATTTCTGCTTATTATTGTTCTTTCGGATCTCTTTGTTTCTTTCTTTTATCTTCTTTTGTATAGTAAATGAAGTGTGGCAACTTCAACTGGTGCATTTCTATGCAAAGTTCAATGCTGAAACCAGTCAGTCAGTCAGTCAGTAAGTCACTTGGATTCTTGATCTTGAAAATTCATCTTGTTTAGATAGTGTTTACCAAGAGGCTAACAAAGTCATAGCTTATGTTTTTTATAATATTTAATCTATTGCTTATAAAGCGTTCTCCTTGCACAGTGTGTTACAATTTTGCTTTAAAATACTTTACAAAAGTTCTTTCTATGCTTTAAGTTATTCTTTTGTTTTTCTTTTCAGATTGATCGGTCGTATCAATTTTGGTTCAGTTATACTTCAAAATAATTTTCTCTTTTGGGCATAATATCTAATATATATTCAAAACTTATTGCATAAAAATAATGCCATTGTCAGAGGAGGAAATTTTTATCCGTATAATGACTTCGCGTCGTCTTCGTGAATGGACTGATGTTAGAACAGCCTTAGATTGGGTTCAACAGGAAACATGTATAACATATGTGTGGAGTGATGGTGAAGTAATGCTCACGACTGAAGGAAGATTAAGATATACATATGTTAATTACAAATGTTCTTGTTCATTTAAGTTAGTATGTAATTCAAATGTGAATAGTATTAGTGATATGTAAGTTGTTTTTTTTAAAAAATATTTTACCTAAGTCTATTAATACTGCAGACTGTAATGCAAGATTTCAAATTAAATGGATTGGCGATCGTTATGTAGTTGGTTCGTTTAATCTTAACCATAATCACGCTCGACCTCTGTACCCTGGATGGACAATACTAATGAAGGAAAGTATAACAGCTGGAAAAGAAAGAAAGCAGAGTTCTAGTGATCAAAGAAATTCATTGAAAATACAAGATCAATTAGCCCATAGTAAGATATTTTGTTATTTTTGTAATTTCATTTGATTAGGTAATGATAAAACATTAAATCAAGTTATTTCTAGTATTACTCAAAATTCATATGTTGCAATTGAAAGCAATGAATTAAAACAACTGACTCATATATCAATGGCACGTTATGAAGCAATTGAAACGTATCGATTGTATCCAGAAGTAGTTCTTTTAAGCGCTACTCACAATGTAACAACAACACGGTATGTTGCAATATATAAATAAATATTTTTTTTTTGTTTTTTAGTAAAGCTTCAGTATTCCAATTCATTGTGATCGATGGTTTTGGATATGCTAAACCAATTATGTACTGTATGAGTACTATTCAACAACAGGATGTATTGTCAATATTTCTTAAACACTTTTCTCGTATTCTACGAAATCTTGATAAAACTCGTACATTTATAATGGATTGTGGTATTGTTCAATTGGACTGTGTGAAAGAAATATTTCCAAAGGCTAAAATTCTCTTCAGTCCCTTAATTGTTGAAAAAGCATTTAGCAGAAAAGTAGTTTTATATACACAATTAAATTGATAGTCATATTAATAACTTTTTCTATTTTTTGTCTATATAGTGTAACGATCCTACAGCTACTGCAATTTTTCATGCTATCATAACTACACAATCTCGTCTACAGTAAGTTGAATCATTAAAAAAATAATAATAATAATTTAAACACATTACAGATTTGATTATTTTATAGAGAGATTAAAATATGCAGATCTAAATGCCTACAATTATATGATGAATAGATGGATGCCTATGAAATCCAATTGGGCGGTTAGTTTCTATAGTGATCAAGTGATTACATTAGGCGTCAATGTTATTGATATCATCAAAAGTGTTAATCCTAGTATAAAAGAATCATTGAGAAAATTGACTGATATTAAAGATTGTTTAACTGTATTATATAATGAAGCTGAAAAACATTGGATTTCACCAAATCGAATTAATCTGCCACATGCTCATTGTATTAAAACTGAGGAGAGTAATGACAATAGTAATAATAATAAAAGTGTTATTCCAGAGAAATTGAAAAGCATCTTGAATCAATTAACTGATTATGCTGCAGATATGATGTATCATCATTCTATTCGAATGAATGAAATTCATGTTGACTTTATCAATTCTGATATAGCCTTATGTACAGATGATAATTCTTTTCACAATATGGAGTCAATCGAAAAGAATCAACTTGTTCCTGTGCATTCAATACATCATCTTTTCTACCATGTAAACATTTATCTCTCATCTATCTACACTATGGTTTACATAAAAAATAATGAATAATATTTAATTTATTATTATTATTATTTTATTTATAGATTTACTTTTGAACAGTAAACGATGGCTAAAATCTTATAATATAGATTTAATGAAACCATCCGGTGATGTTATAAGTCAACCAGCCACAACGACGACACCAACAGCAATAACAACGAAACAACAACCGACTTCAGATACTATTGAAAGACTGCTGTCTTTCATATCATACATAGTAACAATTATATCAAGTATTTTCAAAAAGAGAAGCGTATAATACTTTAGAGAGTGTATTCTTCCAGTTGCTTATTGCCCATAAAACTTAAATGTTTAACACATACATGTAACTCATTTGTTTCTGAAGTTGTTGTTTTTTCTTATAATTTTAAAAAAAAATTTGTATTAATATTTGTTTTCCAAAAATACTTTTATTTCATGACGTTTCATCAATTACTGCTAGCAGCCTACAGCATGACATATGCTATTATAAATGTAAAAAAATATTACGTAACATACTTTGTAAATGATATCAAATCAAAGAGCTTAATTGTAGAAAAAGAGGATATGAATAAAAGATAGTGTTACTTATCCAACAGTCTGAGTTTGATTTATACATAATGTTATGGAACTTTGAAGAGGATAGGTTGGGATTGAAAAGAAATGTTAAATAAAAGTGAAATATACACGAGAGAACCAGACAGGCTTTAGACCAGGAAGGAAGACGGTGTATTGATCATATCTTCACCCTTCGATAGATTCTGGAACATAGGTTTACTTACTGGCGTCCAACAATCGTCATATTTCTGCACCTGAAAGCGGTATTCGATTCTGTCGACCGACAGGTACTATGGCAATGTTTGGTTGTGAGGGGAATGTCGAGAAAATGCATTGCACTGATCAAGGCACTCTTCTCGAACTCATGCAGCCAGCCAGGTGATGAGAGCTTACGGAGAGTTGTTTTATGAAGTGGTGAAAACTAGTGGTGTCCGAGAGGGTGCACTCTATCCCCATTTTTATTCAATATTGTCATAAATGTACTAATGGACTTAACCATAAATGACTTGTTACCAGGTAATAATCTCGTTGACTTAGAATATGCAGATGATATAGTCCTCCCACCTGGGTGAAGACGGTGATAAAATGCAGAGTCTTCTGAACACCTTGACAGGTAGCAATCTTTAAATGTTCGACATGCGATTCGCTCCTGCCAAATGTAAGATGATGCTACAGGGCTGGACTACATTGACTCCTAGCTTGAAGATTGTGGGTGAAGTGGTAGAGTGCGTTTACCACTTCACTTATTTGGGAAGTTAAATCAGCCAATGCCAACGGGTTTGATGGCTGACGAAATCTTAGCACAGATACAGAAGGCTAGTTTCGCATATGCCAGCTTACGTCGTTTCTTGCGTAGACGTGGTGTCTGGCTATCGATCAAAGGGCTCAGAAGTTCACTCTGTCCTCCTTCATAGCTGTGAGTGAGACCTGGCCATTAAAAGTTGAAGGCTGGATGTTTTACGTTGTTCTATAGCCATTGTACCTTTAGTGTGTCTAAGGTTAGATCCATTGTCTTCTGAAAACCGAGTGCAATTAGCAGGGGTATACACTATGTGGTTAAGAAGCTCATAGAAGAGTACCAGATTTAGTCGCAGTCGTCTTAACCATAATGTTTCTAGTCCTAGGATTTCACATCTGGTAGAGTAGTTTGTGCCGTTTTCGGTTCCGATTACTTTTAGTGTGAAGTACCTCTGTACTCATTCTACTTTCAGTTTGTCTATGTTTCTATGCGTACACTACTAAAGATGAATGAGCAGTAATCTAGGAGTGGGCGCACACAAACCTTGTACAGTAGTATTCTGGATTCACTTCTGTAGAAGTTCCTGAGTAGGAAACCAATAAAACTGCGTGATTTCGATACTTGTTTCGAGATATGTTCAGAAAATGATAGATCGTATGAATATTTCAGTCCTAGGTCTAGTACAGATTTGAGTCTAGGGATTTTGTGGCCTTGAATTGCTAGGTCGAGTTCTAGGTCGGCCTATGCAGAGCCAGCCACACTTTTCGACATTAAACTCGAGTCTCCAGGTGTCACACCATCTATCCATTTTTATTAATTCTTCTTGTATGGAGTTCCAAAGTTGTACCGATATCTGTATCAAGATTTTTAAATGTTTCATGTATCTAGTGAAATGCACCAAATTCTTTAAATATTTGGAATTTCCTTTTCAGTTTCCTTCGTTTTAATCGCGTTTTGCGGTCTATGAATACAGTTGGTGTTCATAGGGCAGGTTTTAGAGGTACGATTGTGTCTCTTACTGAACAGAATGTCTTTTAAAAATATTAGGTGTTACTTCTAAGTTATTATTGGTAAAGAATTCACTCCAGTCAGAGCTTCTGAGGAGCGCTGGTAGGAATTTCCAGTCGGCATTTCTATGGTCCCTATATTGATAGTAAACCGGGGAAATTTTCGGTGTGTGTCTAGTTGTAAGTTGAAGAGGTAGAGTGCAGTCGAGTATGTTGTGATCACTATTGTCGAGTTTATCCCTCACTTCTATCGAGATCGGCTCCATTTTTGGCAGAGTATTAGGTCGAGAATATTGTTATGTCGTGTTGGGAGGCGTACGCACTGCTTCCATCCTCCTACATCTATAGCTTCTAGGAGCTCGTCATGGATACTAGGTCCGGTGCAGGTATCCCAGTTCACTCCGGGGATGTTGGAATCGCCACAAACTAGTTTGTAATCGAATTCCAGCGTAGGTACACGCTCTAGTATTCCTCCAATAACCGTATCAGTCGTTTTAGGGCTGTTAGGGGCTCTGTATATACATCCCACTAGAACTTTATTTTCATTCGTATGGATGCTTATCCACTTAGATTCTTGGAGTGCGTCGATAGCTAGGTTTGTAAAAATACTGGAGTTAGTGGATTTAGAAGCATATATTAGACATCCACCTCCTCTTTTGTCCACTCTGTCATTCCTGTGAATGTCATAGTTATCAATTATGAGCTTTGTATCAGGTATATCATTAGTTAGCCAAGTTTCAGTCACCAGGATCAATGTTGGCCGCTCCATGTATACCAAGCTGCGAAGGGAAGTTATTTTGTTAAGGAGAGATCGAGCATTTAAGAGCATAGTTTTCAGAAAACCGGGGTTGTTGGGAAGATAGTAGTTTTTCTTGTTACTATCACTAACTCTTGGTTGTCTATATTATGTTCGGAGGGATTCTCAGATGAGACAGTGTCAGCGTGTCTACTATTCCCTTAACAAGCTGTGCTGCGAGAGGAGCTAGTGTTTGCTGCACCCGAGAATAATCCTGTTGTACATATTGGTTTCTGGCATCATTACATGCGTATCTGGAATCATTTCTCGGCATTAGATAGTCTGTTTCACTGTTCAGATTTTAATTTACAGGGCCGAGGTACCCTGTTTTTAGGTTGTTTTGAGGGTAGTGCGTGCTAAGTCTTTCGCAGTTGTACATTTGTGGACTCATTTCGTGCATGTGCATAGAAGGACCGTGAATCAATCTATACCCATTATGCCGATGGGACTTTACGTACGAACTACTACGAGGGTTCGAGATTACATTTCTGTTCATATGGCACCTAGTGGTATCCCGTCTAGTCTCCCACGTGTTCCTATTATTTATCATGGGTCCCGTTCTCAGGTCGCATATGCCTATAGGCATATTACAACCTCAGCTATTACGGAAATCGTGGGTCTCATTCTGCTGTTTAATCAGCTCAGCGCCCCTTGCGTCTCTGCTAGCGTGTGATTTTGTGTGGATAAAGCTATTTCTGCTGTTATTTCTCATCTCGTGTAGTCTGTCGTCCATAGTTTGTCTACTACTCTTAGTCCGAAGAAAAGCACTTCCACTCACATGTTCCGTCTCCGTTATGGGACCTGCCGCAATGCGTGCATAATTCTTTTTTAGGCTTACATGCTGTTTGTTGGGCTTGTCACAAGGGAGGTATATGGACGCCTGTGGAGAGACCTTGGTTTTGGGGGACTTCTTTTCGGCTTTTACAGTGAGACTATCTTGCTTGGCCCTGGGTGCAGTGTGATCTGCCGATATCTGCAGGTTATCGGTAGTGGGAGCATCTATGTCTACTTCATGTGTGGGATCGGTAGATTTCCTAGGAATGTTCTCATGAACTTCGAGACCCATTCCAGTGTTACTGCCGGTTCTTTTGGGGTTTCTCTTCACCTTTACGTATCGTTTGTTCACCTAGTACAATGCGAGTGTCCTTTTGTGCTTCAGCGTCCTTCGATACTTCGGCACTGATGCTATTCATGATTTGTGGTATAATCTTGTTTGTATCTAAGGTGTTCTCAGCTACTAGTCGTTGGTTGGGGGTTTTATCCGAGACTATTTTAATATTTTTGAATTTTGTAGTGGAGGCCAAAATATCCCCAGATTTCCCGAATTGTTTGGCCATTATACAGCTGTCAAACTTGAAAAGTATGGGACATGCACGGTTCGACTCTTTTTTATTTAGTCGAATACACTGACAGGGAGTACTTAAGAGGTTTGTGGCTCTTAACAAAAAGTGCTGAACCGACTTTATGGGCTCATTGTCAGGTATGTTGTACACTAAGGCGTTCTGCTTAGAAGCAAGTCTTTTAACAACTTCGCTCGACAAATAGTCCATAGCGTTATCTAATTCCTTAGCATCATCCAGTTCAGTATGGGTTGGTTCAGTCCTCAATTTAAACAGTTTTAGGAAAGTGAAATCCCCCAGTTCCTTTTTAAGATGTAAGATTGTTTCTTGTACCAGGTTAAGTAGATTAAGTTTCGTCCTGAGGTCATTTATTTGTAGCTGCATATCGTTTATGATGCAGACTAAGTTAGTTATCTCTGCCTTTTCTGACAGGATATCTTTCACCTGTATTACCGGGGTTAGCATTATGTTGGAACCGTTTGTATTGGGTGAACTGCCAATGGCGAAGTTCAACAGTAGCGTCCTAGGAGTACGAACACTCAAATGACCTTGAACGCTGGTTAGTCGTTAGTTGAGGAAACTTACCAATA